TACTACTGGGTGCTGACAACTTCCTCTTTAACAGACCAGGAGAAGGAGCAACTGCAGAAATAGCACCATGATCACAGCTTTCCCTTCTTCACCTGAACTCATGTCTTTAGAATATGCATATGCCAGAAACTGAAACCTATGGACAACTATTTCTAGGTCTAATGGATTCAAAGCTGTGGTCTCTGCGTCTTCACACGCCCCACAGTTCCTGGGATGCAGGAGGTCCTGAGACAGTACACATATTTACAATACAAAATGACACTCAGCATGTTCGTCTTCTAGCCATTCTTAAATAGGTATGTTTCGGAATGGGAACTTCAAAATATCCCTCACCGAGGAACATCTGGCAACTAAACTCGAGCTGGCAAAAAGCCCAGGGCTCTGCCTGAGCCCTCCTTCCTCTGGGCTTCCATATCAGACCTGACAGGTGCAGCGCCAGGAGGAAAGGGGCCCCGGGGAGCCCCAGAGTGGGTCCCATCTGTCACTGCTGTTGCCCCTGATGCCAGGAAGGTAGAGCTGAGAAGGGAGCAAGCTAATCCTCAGGACCGAAGACTCTTCCTCTTGCATAAGAAGAAAGGAACACTGCGAAATTCTGAACTTTATAACTCATACTAATATATTATACTTTATAATGTTATACTATTTCTGATCATAATTTCACTCATGTTCATGGAAGCCGCATGATCCCCAAAGCACTGAACTTGTGGGTCTGAAGAGAACTTCATCTCCTCCCGGCAGAACTCAGAATCGCAGAGCTATGGCCCATTAGAGCTAGAAGGGACCACCCAGACCACCTGGCTCAACACCTTCATTCCATATGTCAGCAGAATCAGCAAAAGGATGAGGATGATCTTAGTGTTAGAAGTAATGAAAATACTCTCCACTCTTGAATAGTCACTTGGAGACTATGGTGTTTTCCAGATAGTGCCTCATTTTTTTCCTCAAGATTGTGCTTTCTTGACTCTCCTCTGTACCAGATTGACTTTAAATTCCTAATACAAAAAATACTTCATTCAGAATATAACGTCTCTGTCCTTGCTTGGCTACTGGTTATTACTAATCATTTCTTATCCATATTAAATTATATTAATCATGCCAACAATAAAGGCAATACGTTAATGCATAGTAAAGTTAGTTTACATTTCACATGCATGTCGCAGTCAACTAAATTGTGTTTGGCAATGTATATTTCCAAAGAAAAGACATGATTAAACTTACAAAATATAAACCAGTACAAAGAAATCTCAAAAGCACATATTAAATAAATATATTTTATAAATCAAGATTTTAAAAGAATACACTAATCTTAATTTTTTTTCCTAATATAGGGGGGAGAAAAGAATTATTTAACAGAATCCCTGTTTTCCCACTGGGATATAAACATACATTCTCTTCAAGTTAATAGAATTAGAGTAAAAAAGTTTATACTTCCTAGAAAACTTGTTTGATCTGTGGATTTAATCCTATATGATAAAAATGTTCCAAGTATAAAATGTAGAGTATAAATCCTAAGCAGTATTTCAAATGCTTTAGCATGTAGACATTATTTTTCCATATTTTAATGAAAACCAGATTTATTTATAAGTTGCTTTAATTTCATTCTCGAATGGAATGGAACAAGGGTATCATATGTTCTGAATTAGGATCTTACATCCCATATCAATTTTGTGACTCAAATGCAAGACAACTTAATTGTGTCAATCATAGTGCCCTGACAAGATCATTAAATGTTAACAGAGAGCTTCCAAACTTTAACAGCTGTAGATTTTTAAAATATAAGTTATTCTATGAAAAATATAGGTGTCTCATAAAAGTTTGGTATAAGTATTATAGCTTCTGACTTCTAATGGGGATTTTTGAAATTAGAATATTATGAACACATGAGTTTCTTTTTAATAACATCTTTGGAAAGGTTTATGTTCAAAAAGGTACATCAAGTCTCACAGATAGCCCAGAAAATAAGCACACCTAAGAGAGCTGAACTGCAAGTCATGGGAAATCAAAATCTAAAGTAAAAGTATATCAATATCATATTGACCTCATAGAAGAAATTGCTATGTAACTCTACCCAGAAATAAACTGCTCTAGATAGTTAAGTAAATTACCATAACATTTGTTTCTTCATTATTTTACAGCATTAAACTTTAAAGACTAATGATTTAGTTGCATTCTAACCAGTATAATTAGTTACCTATTAATTTTTTCAAAGCTCTGAAATCCAAAATAAGCAAATAGATATTAGATTTTAAACACAAGGCTGTTAAAAATGTGCAATTTTAAAACATCTTAACAGAGATGATGCAAATTGGCCACAGTATTTTGAAGTATATAATTTTAATAATCCATGTGTGACATCTAAAAACAATAATTTTCCACTAAGTGAGATGGTAACTAATTTTTATTTTTTTAAATAAGGCAGGAAAAAAATGAGTGGCAACTGATTTAAAATGAAGTTATGGAAAAAGTGTCACCTTTAGAGAAAGAAGACGTAAGTTTTAATAGCAGTTCTGTCACATACTACCTTAATTATGTCTAAAATTTTATTTTCTTATTTTTTATTGTATTTTTTCCCCTTATACCCTCTTCCACCTCCAGTCATCCCTCTCCCCCTGCAACTGCCACACTGTTGTCCCTGTCCACAAGTCTTTTTTCTTTTTTGATTGATTCCTGCACCCCCTAACCCTCCCCAGAGCTGTCCGTCTGTTCTCTTATCTATGACTCTCTCTCTGTTTTGCTTGTTAGTTCAGTTTGTTCATTAGATTACACATATGAGTGAAATCATATAGTATTGTATTTATCTTTCTCTGACTGGCTTATTTCACTTAGCATGATGTTCTCCAGGTCCATTCATGGTGTTGCAAAAAGTAAAATACTCTTCCTTTTCATGGCCAAGTAGAATTCCATAGAATAAATGTCCCATAGTTGTTTTATCCACTCATCTATTGATGGACACTTGGGCTGCTTCCAATTCTTAGCTATTGTAAATAACACTGCAATGAACATAGGGGTGCATATATTCTTTCGAATTAGTGTTTCAGGCTCCTCTTTCCACAAAAATATGTAACAATAAAAAATGTAAATAGAAGTGACCAAATTCAGGATCAACTATTAGGATTAACATAGCTTACACAAAGTGTTCAAATTTGACTCTGACTTTCCTGGTAAGCAGAGCAAGTATGAAAAAAAAATCTTTAATACAGTTATTGGAATTTCTTTTCATTTTTAGCAAGGCATAATTGACATATAACATCATGGAATTTCTTAATTCTGCACATTTATACTATGCTATCAGCTGACAAAAGCATGTGTATGTATATTTTATGTGATCATCCCAAAAACTTTGTTAAGAAGGCAATACTGGTAACCCATTACAGCAGGTGAGGAAACCTAAAGCTCAAAATTAAGTTCTATGGTGAAAAGAAGTTAAATTAATTTCCTGAGTCTACTGAATAGGAAATGGATAGGACACACACCTCCTCACCCTCAGCTTAACATCCTTTATTTTACCTCATATTGCTATGAGTCTTAGCCCTGAATTATTAAAAATTTATGATTTTTCTGAGTAATACAAGTTGTGTGCAATACTTTTACTTCAAGTGCAAAAGTGGTTTTCACGTAGCTATTTCTTTTTTATTTATGTTGTTACTGATTGGAGAGAAAGAGAGAGAGATCAGTTTGTTGTTCCATTTATTCATGAATTCATTGGTTGATTCTCAAGTGTGCCCTGACTAGGGACTGAACCCTCCACCTTGGTGTATTGGGATGATGCTCTAACCAACTGAGCTACCCTGCCAGGGCCAAACATAGCTATTTCTCATAGGAGGTTATTTATCAAACTAAGAGCATAAAAAAATTAAAACTATATAAAGCTGTAGATAAAACAAGGTACTCGTGAGCATGAAATGTGATAATGAATGTGGAAACTTCGCAAACTATAAAGTACTATATAAAGGCCCAGTATCTTCTGATAATGAAAAATCATTAAGAACTTCTACCTACATTTTTTTAAACCACATTTTCTTGATGATTCTTAGTTAAATCTAAAGTATACTGTATTTTTTATTAGCCAATGTCACCCCAATAAATTTAATAAAAAGTAAAGTCTATCATACTTTCCCTATAAATATGTATTTGCAATTATCTAAGTAGAATTCTGTCATAAAAGTCAAGTTGGAAGAGTTAAAAACAAATTTTGAAAGCTTGCTCTTTAATCCAGAAAAAGTTCAAATACTGGAGCAAAACAATCAAATATTTAAATTTAAAAATATGAGAGGTTTTTTTGTTGATGTTGTTGTAATTTAGAAATTATATGAAATAACTTGATGACAAAAGAATTTATTCTGTCTTTTCAAGTTTATTTTTCTCAAAATTTCTTATTTTATGTAGTGAAAGGAAAAGTATAATGAATGTTTTTTCCCATAAAAAGAGATGAGTCAAAAGTCTTTAGGACACAGCATTTTTAAAACAAGGTATAATGTGATTTAGTATTGTTTACGATATTGTTAAAAAACAGAAATTGAAACAATTAAGTCCCTGAAAATATTTTTTCAAATCATGCTTTATAATAGGAATTCATACAAGTATGACTGTAACTTTATCGATATAACTTATCTTTGTCATTATGGTTGGCTGAAAAGTAACAGCAGTATTATCCACCCCACCCTTTGTTGACCTTTACCATCAGTACTTCCAGTATTCTTCCACCCCCACCCCAGTCTAGCATGTCCCCAGAGATTTCTTTTTACTCTTCTCCAAGGACTAGCTCATACCTGTTCTGCCCTATTGTCCCCCGCCACATTGCAAGGGTTATACCTGGTGTTTCAGTAATGGATCATCACTACACACCAGCTGAGTGTTTTTTCTCCATTACTACTCTGCCCCTGCTTCACGTGTAAGTGTCTTGAGGGTAGGGACTCTGTTTGTTTCACTTCCCACTAGCTTAATCGATATTTATTGAATTAATAAATAAATGGACAAAATATGAAGTATTTTTTCCTTACCCGCTATAGTCTCCAGACAAAAATTCTGAAATAGCAGTAGGAAGCTCTGTTTTAATAATTAAAAGATAAGATGACATAGCTGCAAAAAGAATAAAAAGAATTCCTGTTAGAATCCTATTATTTTTAACCATTTAAAGAATAATTTATCCAGAAACACAGATATCCATTAGATCTATGACAACATGCAGAAAATCAACTTATACTTCACTGTCCTCAAAGGTAGATATGTATATAATACATATCATACATCTATATCTATCTATACATACCAGGAATGGATATAAATAACTCTGCAGAGAAGAGTAATTGTAAGTTCATTAAGCATCCTTTGTTTACATTTCAAGTCCAAGGCAAATCATTTTGGTAAGAGAAAGGGTCTTGAATACATGTCATTTATAAATGAAATTTTGGTTGAAGTTTTGCAACACTCCTTATATGTTACGTCATCCTGTCCAAGGCATTAGAGAGGTTAGTGTGGCAATAACTGATGTAGAAACAGAAGTATAACAAGTATAGCTAATAACTTTAATAATTTGTTCTTTCTTACTAGAGGGAGACCTCCTCCTGGAAGTCTTGCCCCCTTTCTTGCCCTTTCTCAACTTCCCCCCAACACACACACACACACACACACACACAATGGACATTTAATGATAAAACAAAAACAAGATGCATAATGAGTTATATTTTAAATTGTCCTCTAAAACATTACAAAAGATTCAATGGAAACGATCAAGCATGTTAAAAAAACAAAATTTACAACTTTTATTCTATTTTCTTAACAGGGCTCATCTGTATTATGCAATCAACACCTGAAGCTAGAATTATTTCTCATATTTTACCTGACAGGATCCAAGGAAAAAACTAGCTTTTACAGCACTTTAATAATGTTCTTATTTCTGATGTAGCTATAAAAAAACAAATCTAAAAAACCCCATAAACCTTCCATCACATACTAGGAAATGTTTTACTATGGCTACAGAATACAGAATTCATTTATATGTAAACACTTGAGTTTAAGCTTAAATACTTAAGTATATAGAAACCCAGATGATTTGGAGTCAGAACAAGTAATAATCTCTTTTCCCCCAGGGATTAAGTATATATTGAAAAAGAGCCAACAAGAATATGTCCATGAAGAATAAAGAGTGTACTCTGTGTGCACGTTAATTTTATTACTTTTATGTATTTCAGGAAACACTTCACTATCTCCTTGGAGCTACAAAAACTAAGAACATGAATGAATGCCAAGTCTGAATGGCAGAAATCTGGGGGGAAATTGATCAAAAGGTTCAAATAGTTTAAGATGAAGAATTTGTATTTCTCAATCAACATATGCACAAATATTACAGTGCCATGTGACCACTTAACCATGGAGTAAAAAATGATACACAGTAGTTTGTGTATAAATTTATATGAAGATAGACAATATTTACATGTACAAACATATACTCTCAATTTTTTTAGTAAAATAATGTGTACCTATGGCAACGTAAAAGTTAGACAGTTAAGTAAATAATCACTTCTTTGTAATGAAAATGTACATATACGTACATTTTCCAGTTCTGACTATTTCTTTTACCCCAGCAGTACAAGCTGCTGAAGTACAGCTTTTTCCCCAAGCAGAAGTGTTGTATATGTCTTCAAACTCCCTTTTACTTATGGGGTATTACAATTGATTATATGTGAAAAGATATTCTATTTTGTTTTTACTATCATAAGGAAAAATGCTATCAATTTGATACACACGGAAGATTTAACTTCTTCCACTCAAGGATGTGAAGTCTGTTTATAATACTTTATCTATTCCAAAGAATCATACACATATGGTGTGATGAGAAAATCATGAACTGACTTTTCTGAAACTGGCCTAGAGCTACTTAAATATATCTTGCCAGGAAAAAAAAAAAAGGATAAAAATACCTTGAAAACAAGGAATGCAGACTTCCTACACAATGTAATTTATTATCTGACCATCAGTCTTTCTTGCTTGGATTAATTCAACACTACATGCATTTCTAAAGTTTCAGACATTCATCTCTTTCAGTAATTTTCTATTATTTTCTTTTAGATCTTTAGTTGTAAAAAGCTTCAATGAATATGAGATCATATTTCTTTCTAATATGCAATCTGTCATTCTTCCCAGAATTTCTATTAGCCCCTGGCTAATCATTTGATCACTTTTATCCTCTGTTGTATCCCTACCTCTTTGGTTTTCAAATGGGTGTCCTATTTCATTAGATTCCAGTCTGAGGAATCACGTATATTTCAAGAAATGTGAACTCACCAAACAAATGTTTCTCTCTCAAAGAAAGATTTCAACATACAAGATATGAACATAATAAAATAGGCAAAATACCTCTTCTTTCCTTAGAGAATGCTGGTGCTTGTTTTAAGTGCTGCAGACCTACCAAACTTATGACAGGGGAAAACCCCACTGACTAAGCAGGTAAAACAAAGAAAGACACTATCCTTTTCATTGTCTAAATTATTTTTTCTTAACCGCAAGTAAACTTTCATGCAAGGTCTAGCACCTTAACATATTATATATAATACAGCAAAGAAACAAAAAATATACATTGTTAGGAAATACAGACTAATTAGATTCACATGAAAACAACAATCAGCTCGATAAAATAAACTGGAAAATAAACTGGAAAATTTTAAAAGAAGATATAATATAAATAAGAAAGCTCACATATCTATTGTTTTTAACCAAAGATTCACTAGATCAAATAGCGGCCGATCTCACCTTTTGTCTCATGTCTTCTATCAATGGCATAAGGAAGTGTTTAAAGACATCTCAGAGACAGCCCATGAGCAAGAATTTGTCAATGATTTTTGCTGACATCGATACATGGCATAGACTCCTAATACAAGACACACCATGTTGTACTCTTAATTAATAGCTGTAACAGGGTCATCCATAAGAGCCATGGTTACAGTTAAGTGGTTCTGGCCTACACGCCACCAAAGCCAGAATTTGTGCTAGAAAACACACCTTGGTGACAGGTATGGAACCATCACAAATCATTTAGTTTCACCACATTAACTCAACAGGTATTCTTTTCTTCTTCATTTTAAACGTAACTAATAGAACTCATTTTAATGGAAACTGTCCTGAAAAGAACATTTAAAAATTCTGTCAACCTAATCAAAACACAAGCTGAAAGTATTCTTTAAAAACCATGTGGGGAAAATATTGAGAAATTACTAAAATAGGGTAAAATTTGATTAGGCAATAGCAGTATTAATAATGGCTGTCTAATCATAAAGAGAAACACATGAGCTGGCAGCATGGAGGCTGAGGGGAGAGATGTCAGAAACAGAGAAAAGAGGGAAAAGGCTTTGCAGAAGTGTGAGAACAGCAAACATTTTTGGTTTGGGGGTGCCTAGTATATGCCGGTGTTCTAAATGATTTGTAAGTTATTTCCTCATTTAATGTCACCACAAACCTGTGAGGAAGATATTACTCATTTCACAGATGAAGAAATGGGAACACAAAGGAGTAATGTGCCCAAGCTATAGCAGCCTGGCTTGAAAAATTTGTACTGCTAACTACTATGCTATGGGAAAGTACAGGCACAAAGTGAAGAAGTCCACCACAGCAAAGAAAAGGAAAAAAGGTCTATCAAAAGTACCACTCTCTAAGGCTATTCTTTTGTTCTTTGTTCATTAGCATCTAAACAGCAAATTTCTTCTGAATGTTGAGTTTAACATTTGGGTTCAAATAAATTAAAGAATTTATACAACATAGAAGCTTTAAAAACACATGTTTATTTCACTTTAAAATGTATTTGCAGCATAATTCATTTTATTTTTGTGAGTTGGTTTGGTGGAATGATTAGTCCAAGATTCCTTCCTTAGGACTCTTCCCAACAGAACACTATGGATTGGGCTCTACCCCTACAATTCTATTGTATAAACAACTATATTGTAGCTCAGAAAAGGAAGCTCCCTAATCTCAATATTTGAGATACTTACACTACACAGGAATCTAAAAAAATTAAAACAAAAACCAATCCCTCTTCCCACAAACCCTGTATCTTATGGCCTATTTTTCCCAGAAATAAATAAACATCATGCACACATACATGCACATGCCTCAGTTGGAGTTTGGGCCTAAGAAATCATTAGTTTATAAAAAATAATTATTGTTAGATACTTTTTGTTAGACACTTAAAATATACATATGAAGGTAAGATTATATACAGCTATTTTTTAAACAGAATTAGGTTTTCAGCACTTGGAGGAAGTTTAGCAACTTCTCAAAGGATTAGTTGGCCAGACCTAAACAGATGTATGATACTGTGTGAGAAAATAGTAACTTTGCCTTTCTGTCTAAGAGAGGTTCATTCTTACTTCCAACATGTTTTTAGTGATGGACAGCAAGTAGTTTATTATATTCAACATATCTTACTAAGCTGGTGTTCCTATTAAGTGTTCAAAATACTACTGACAGTCTACCCTCACTCAAAACAGTACACTAACACAATCTTTTTTTTAATTGTATTTTATTGATTATGCTATTACAGTTGTCCCATTTTTTTCTCCCCTTTATCCCCTCAAACTCTCTTTTTTTTTAAAGGGCTTTTTAAACCCTAAAAACAATGTCATTTCCCTAATATGTGCACAAATGAAAATCAAAATATATGGAGGGTCTATCCCCCCATAACCCTAAAATCATATGTATATATCTTTGTTTTATCATTATCAAGATCTTAAATTAGAATTAAAAATGACCAGAATATTTACTATTCTGAAGCTCCTATAAATAAAATTACAAAGAAAAATTCATTTTTTGTAAACCTTTTTAATGTGACATGTTACCAGTAAATTTTCACTAAAGGAAGTATTTATGAAAAAGACATCTTTCAAATTCCCTCCCCCTCTCCTAAGGCAGTGCTTCCTAGAATTTCTGGACAATACTGCTCAGGCTCCATAAAGCAGACTATAGATGATCTTACCAGCAGATGGCATCGTAACAGCGCACCCAGTCCTGGTTTCCCAGGAGACAATACTAACTAGAATAGCTAAAAAGACTTCACTATCCTACCGAAAGCAAAAAAGGAAAAAGACCAA